ATAATTAATAATTTCTTGTACGGCCCGGTACCAATTGATCCACGGACCGGTACCGGTCCGCGGCCCGGGGGTTGGGGACCACTGGCCTACAGCACAGTGAAAACTACTTGTTTACATGTTACTAGCAAACATTCTTCTCTTTTTTCCTTTTCTTCTTCTTCTGTTTAATGGCGGTTGGCATACATACTAGCAAACATTGTATTGAGGTAGCATAGCTAATGTATTCTCTGTATGCTAATTTTCCTGATTCCAACAATGGAGCAACCAATCAAAACACGGGGAAATCAAATGCATGAAATTACTAACATTCCTTTTATTTAAATATAAATTAATTAATTAGATTAGCTTTAAGTCAAATGTTAAAATTGTTCATTAGGAAAAAAATTAATTTAATTTAAAAATATGTGAACATTTAAGGGCATCTTTAAGAGGGAGCTCGAACGCCTCACTGCATCCTCTTGCAGCCATGCCCAGTTGTAAACAGTACATAACTGTAAATCATGTGACTGTGACTTAATCACACAGCAGTGTAACTCAGTTTTGGCTTCTTATAAAACCTGGCTGGTGGGAGGGCAGGAGCAGATTTCACTTTAAACTTAGTTTTCTTGTGCTTTGATGAGAGAGTTTTGTGTGCTTATGTCATGTGTGCTTGTAGGCTATGTGTAGTGTGTAATAGCAGGATTTGTGTCAATCTTTGTGTGCACTGACATGCTCTGACAGGTCAATCATTGAGGAGATGTAGTCTGCAGTTGCTTCATTGACCTACTGTGCTAAAAGAACAAGTTAAGGGTCATCTCATTCTGTTCCTCATGAGGCCTCAACTGTATGCTGATTGCAAAATATTTTTAAAGGCTACTTTCGGGCTTTCTCTGCTTTTATAATGGACATTGCTGAATTAAGATTTAAAATGGATCTGAAATGTCATTAAAGAGGATTAATCTTTGACAAGCAATGTGTAATAATTCACTTTAAAGTGCACTGCCATCAACACACAGACGGTGACAAATTAAAGGAAAATCCTGAAAAAAATGAGTGGTTTCTTCCAGGATGACAGTGCCCCCATCCACAGAGCACAGGGGGTCACTGAATGGTTTGATGAGCATGAAGATGGTATAAGTCATATGCTACAACCTTCGAAGTCACTCCTATGGTTAATTTAGTCACCAATCAACCTAAGCTGCATGTCTTTGGACTGTGGGAGGAAGCCAGAGTACCTGGAGAAAACCAACGCAGACACAGAGAGAACATGCAAACTCCACATAGAAAGGCATAAGGTCAGCCTGGGCTCAAACCTGGAAGATTTTGCTACAAGGCAACAGCACTAACCACCGCACCACCATACCCTTTTTATATCATCAAATGAATTTGTCCTGGAGATGATTTCTTCCTTTTTTGGTAGATATGATCATACTGATGTGTGTACAATGGTCATTTTTCTGGTAATTTTGTTTGTAATGACTTTGGCTCATGTCCCTTCCACTAACATGAATGAGGTGGGATTTATGACCTATACTGCAAACAGTCACAAGGGGGTGATTGACTCATCATGGCTTTCCTCCTGGGAAGAGGGAGAGGCTCTCAGCCTCTCTATTGTTTATACAGTTCATGAATCTTACACACTGTCACATTGTTCACACATTGTTCAATTTTAGTATAGTTGATACATTATAATTAGTATACAATATTGATTTAATAGTTAAAAGAAAGAAATAACAGTTTAACAAGTTTGGATGTTGAGCTTTTATTTCATGAAAATAACAGCATGAATTAATTGATTCCTTTGGTCCATTTCACAGTTTAAGACAAGCTTTTAAATGTACCCAGATTTATTTCCTGTTGCAGTGTTTGCTGTTTCCCATCAATATAAATCCAGAGAATGATTTATAAAACTTTTCATTTACTTGACTAAGTTCAAAAACATTATTTTCTTTTTCAGCAACAAACAAGCTTGAGAGAAAGTTAACCAAAAAGTTGAAAAGAAGAGCTGAACAAAATCATCTCAGCCTGTTTTAGATTTCTAATGTGACAGCATTTTCAGCACTAAAGTAAAATATACAGTTGATGGAATTAAAAGTGAAAAAACTAAACTAAACTAAACTAAAGAATAAAACCCAGCAACAAAAACCCTAACAACTTTATATTCTGAGTTGTTTTGTCACCACGTTTCATCTGCTTCAGCTGGGAAAGACTTCATTATCCCAGCTTGGAAGACAGTTCTGTCAGGCACAGTTGACAAATGAACATCCTTAATTGTGTTGATCATTTTAACTTATGTTTGTTCATGTCTGGTACTACAACTAATTTGGAATATGAAACTTAATCATCCGTGTATTAAACTAGCACAAACATCACATCATAATTTCAAATTTTTACTAATTTTGTTCCTAACATAGTGGAAATGTTTCCAGGAACACATTGTGTTTTTTATCCAAGACCATTTATGTGTGATGGACAAGCTGTGTTCTTCAATTAGTACACTACCACAAAGTTACGCATCTGTCAGTAAAGGCATTTGTGTTAATGAGGTGTACTGTGCTGTATACTGCATGTGCTTTAAGTAGTATTTTGTGTCATTTACTATGAAAATGCAAACTTGAAATAATGGCAGTTTATGTTCACTGGACGTTCATGCAGTTTTCTCATCCCTTTCTCTTAAGCAGAGAGTCTGGTCCTCAGCTGACATGTTATTGGAGTATATAATCCTGGTAACATGCACTTTTGTGTTCATGAAGGTAACACAATAAACATGTTTCAGGACATGTGTGATAAAAGTAATATAGCTTTTATTTTTGTTCTTGCTACAGTGCATCACAACTTATTAAAGGCCCTCACCATTAAGATACAATTTACTAATGAGGGACAGAGTTAGTGTACTTTTTCAGTTAATTTAACAATTTCGGGTCACAATATTATATATTAGTGCTCTAAAAATAACCCAGGTGTGAGGAAGTGCAGCACTTGCAGAAATCAGCAGATGACAAAGAAGAGACAGGAGTCAGTGTTCTTATAAGGAGGGGACATTTTTATTTATAACACATGGTGCTGACAGGGAGTCTCCAGCTCTGCGTCTATATTACAAGGTCGATCTGCAAGGCTGCACATGTACGGTACGGTATTTGGAAACCCAGATTGCAGTGGCACTATAAACACACGCTTGAAACAACAGATTCAGTCTTTTTTTGTGTTTGTTTGTTTGTTTTTCTTCATTTTCTTACAAAACGGTACAAACAACAATACAAAAATTTGTGCTGTTGACATTTTACAAAAAAAAGTCTTTTGACTTGATAACTGTGCAAGTTTTTTTTTTCAGCATTTTTTCTCCTCCATTTGAAACTATGCGAGTATGGTACACCAGAATCCTTTCTGGACTGCAACCTCGGTCATGCGGGCTGCGACACATTTTGAAATGTTGTATGATTACTGTAATAGAAGTCATCTGTCCATTATAGAAAAGACACATGCAAAAAGCTCCAATTGTACAATTACAATTTGCTTTACTTGGTCTGTTTAGCTTCAAGCAAATACTACATTATGTACACTTGGACTTGGAGGAGAATTGGGAGGATTCACATGAAACACTGCTGCCTGTCTTTGTGATTCTGGCCAAAGCAGGACAAACATCTGGCTTTTGCTGGAGTCTCCCGTCATGTGTGTTTCCATTGTCTGGCAGTGTCCTTAATGAGACCAAGTTTCCTTTACCTAACATTAGTCAGAGATACAGAGGAGCCACTGTTGACAAGCCAGAAGGTGAAGGACTACAGCAGTGCAATAGTTCTTCCTTCATTCTAATTTTCTCCCTCACTTTAGAGTGGAGCAAGGATACAACAAGTAATGATCAATCTCCCTTCATTTCCCCTCACTAATTGCATTTAAATGGTAGCCGGGTGTGACCGACTTCACCGATGATTTGCTGTCATGTGTCATTGTGATAACATTCAGCATCATAATGGCACTGTGTCATGTACATAACTATGACACAGTTAAAAAGTTCAATTACCTTGTGTAAAGTGTGTGTGTGTGTCTGGTCTGAATGTCTGTTAAGAGAGCATGGGCATTTCATGACGCATGCATTTATGCTGTGAATCCTGGATGGCCTTCAGTAATGTTGGAGCTCCACAGGTGAATTATAACACTGCTGAAAGAGCTCATATAATATAGAACACTCACATATATACAGTAAGGCCTAGAGGAGAGAGTGTGTGCTAATATAGACTGTACAAGTTGGTTTGAAATGGAACCTTATCCCCACGATGAAGCTTAACTTGAACAGCGACAAGTATGGCTGTAAGCTTGTATAGAATCACACAGATTCTCTTACTGTAAATGCACATGGCTTTTGGTGGTGAAATATACCTTGTCAAAACTGGAGTGAAAGAAATAGCAAAGACCACACAGAAACAGACCAATCATGTCACCAAATGTATAAAAATGTTCTGTATACACAACATTTATATGTCGGAAATTATCACAAATAGCAGAAAGTAACAGCTGTGTTTATTCTGTAGGATGAGGAGCAATCGGATAGATCAGAGTTTAACCCAAAGCAAGCTGTGAAAACCATTCCTTTTTCTCCACTCTGTTTCCGCTCTGAGCTGACAGCTGTCCTGAAAATCACCACTGTCAGTTTCTGTGCTACAAGCTTCAATTTACACCCATTTATCTAAGAATCTAAATCAAGAGAATCCTACCCTGTTAACCTTTCTAAGAATACTTCTCTTGTTTACAGTCAAAAGGGACTCTCATCCTTATTTTGGCATGATGGATATTTGCATCAGCATTTATCTTCTTTCCATTCACGCTGAAAGTGCAGGTACTTCTTCTCACAGTGGGCTCATTTGACCATTTGTGAAAACCAAAGATTGTTAAAATGAACCATTCTCAGGTGGGGAAGAGCTTAAAAGCAGCATGACACAAACAAGTAAGTGGTGGATGCTTGTCATCGCATCACCTAAAGAACACTGCTGTTATGAAGATTTCCTTCAAGCATTCATCACATTCCTAATTAATTTAAGATCTGGTTAATCTACTTCAAGTTTAAACTCCACTAAGGAGTATTTCAATGGGCACTAAGGAGATAAGGAATAACTAAACCTTTCCATCATTTCCCTGGTTCTTTTGTGAGATATTTTGCATATTTAAATACAAAGACTAAAGCTCTTTTTTCCAGTTCTCTATATGCATTTCTGGGAGCCTGGAATATGATTACAAAAGCCCATGGGTAGTGCTGCTTTTTCATTATGTCATAACACAACTGTCTCTCAAAATGTCTGTCTCTTAAAGCGCTATTACTGAAGGTTTAGTTTTGCAAGCCTGCTTTGATTTAGTGTAGAACTTCATAACAGACTTTCCCTTCCTCTAACGTCTTTTCAAAACCTCTTGAACTTGCAGCCAACAAATTCAGGAGAAAATTTCAGATGAATGAAATGCTGCCTGAAGAGAGACAGATTGTGAAGGCGCTAAATCCCTGGCTGAGGCTCAGCTCCCCCAGTTTCTGTGACAGGGACCAGCACCAAAGTTTGTATATTAAAAGTTTGTCAAGAAACAACAGTGAAAAATAAAATAAAAAGAAGGAAAAGAGACTCACAATGTAGCTCACAATGTAACACCATCTGAGCTGCTTGAAGTCATCTAGTCTTTTCCCTTGTGTTTTTACAGTTTACATAGTTTTTCTTTGACACATTTACCACACAATAATTGGTGCCATGTTAATTACTTTGGGTGTAGGGTTAAACATGCAAACCTTAAATGATCTTAACAGCAAAGTTTCCTTAAATAACCCTCATAGGTACTTTCACATACAGTAATAAGCAACACACTTGACTTCAGTCTTCAAAATTTTGTAACAAGCCTTATCAAGTTTCAATACTGAGAGCTCAAAACAAACACAGCTGCTATTGAAGCCACAATAAACAAGGACACGCAATGCATTTCTTTTCTAAGACAGTCCCATTTTGTATATTTGTGATTTCACCAATCACTTTCAAGTTGGTTGGGATCTAGAAGCACAGATATGCCCGACATGAAAAGTTAATGATTTGTCCCTAACTTGCAGTACAGACACACTGTAGGCCTCTGTACAGTACGTGTACATAAAGCGCCCTCGTAACCCAGTCAGTGCTCCTCTGAAACCAGCACTGACATCTCCCGCAGCTACCGCAGCCCCATCGGACAACAGAAATGACAAGGGAAGGTCTGAGTTAAAGGGTCAGGGGTCATATGGGGGCATGTAAGCCCAGAAAATGGCAACCAATCCTGAGTTAGCGGGAGTCTGGTAAAATATGCACCACTGAAGGCACTTTTTAAACAACAGTGCTTCTGTTCTAAGTAATTCAAGTTCAAGAAAGAATAAACCATGGCCCTCTGTGCAGGAAGGACTTTCATATCTGTGTTCTTGTTCTTCTATTTTCTTCTTTTGTTCTCCTCAGACAAAGCAAGCAGCTCAACCTAAAGCTTCTGCAGAAAGGCAGGCGGGGGCTGACAGCAAGGGAAAAGTGAAAACCCTCAGGAATAGAGAATGGCTCGAATAGAAGGGGAGAGGGGGACAGACAAAAAATTGAAAAAAACAAAAACAAAAAGTGTACAAACCAGACAGAAAACAGAATCAGACAAAAAGAATTAAACCTGCATCTAGCATAAAATTGAAACTGAAACTAAAGCACGAGAGTTTAAAAATACAAACAATGAGAAGCCTGCAATTCAGAGCTTCCGTTTCAGTCTTAGACAGGCTTCGAGCAGTAGGCGGCTGAGAAGAGCACCCGAAAGTGACTCACAGCACTGGTCCTCTGTGGTGAGTAATTTGATTGGTTGGTAGGTCAGTCACTTGGTCAGTGTGAACATGTCATTGTTAACATGTATTCAGTAAGGGTGTAATAACCCCATTTGTTAGAGGGACAGAGCGTGGCAGGCCAGCTGACGGGACGAGGGTGTGTGTGTATGTGTGCATGTGTGACTGGGCAGATTTAATCATCATCCCCTCCTCCGTACATGTCGGCCAGCTTCTTAAAGCGAGGTCCCCAGTCGTTGAGGTAGTCATAGTCCTGATCCCCTGTGCTAGAGGAGTTAAGCGAGCTGACAGAGCCAGCAGTGGAGCCACTGCCCTCGTAATCAAACACCAGCAGGGAGTCATAAGGAGGAGCAGTGGGGTCGTTGTCTGCTGCTCGCAGACCCTGAGCAGGAGGAAGAGGAAGCAAGATAGTGGTCAGTAATCACATGTTCAGAGTGCAAAAATCAGTGCATGAAAAGCAGTAAGTTAAAGTCAACTCCAGTGATTTAGAATTGCACTGATGTGGGACAGGTTTAAAAAAGAAGATCAAAATTGAAGCAGCAGAAGCCAAGATATCCTGACATAGAGCAAGTCCCTAGTATAGGTCCAGCTATAAAAATGGTGGCATCTACATGATGAACCAAAAGCTTTTCATTATATCCTCCCTTCCTGGTAAATGCTTACATCCTTCTGAATTTCCCCACTTTGTAACTGATTATGATTTGTAATTGTTTTGTTATACAACCCCAACTCCACAAATGCTGGGACACTGTGTAAATTGTAAATAAAAACTGAATGAAATGCTTTTAAAACCCCCTTTACCCTTTACATTCATTTGCTACCAGTATAAAGATAAGATATCTAATGTTCACATTATATGATAAATGACATATTTTGGTTTAGATAAGCTTATTCTGAATTTGATGCCAGAAACATGTTCCAAAAATGGTAGGAGAGGGGCAACAAAACCTGGAAAAATTGTGTGATGCTAAAAAAACACCTCACAGCTACTTAGGTTAATTGGCTCCAGTATCATGACTGGGTATAAAAAGAGCAACCCTTTTAGAAGTAAGGATGGGGTGAGGTTCACCACTCTGTGTAGCAAATAGTTCAACAATTTAAGAATAACACTTCTCAGTGTAAAATTGCAAAGATTTGGGGGTTTTCATTATCTACAGTACATAATATCATTAAAGGATTCAGAAAATCCAGAGAACTCTCAGCAAGCAAGTGATAAGGCCAAAAATCAATAATGGATGGCCGTGATCTTCTGGCCCTCAGGCAACACTGCATTAAAAACAAATGATTCTGTAGTTGAAATCATTGTATGGGTCAGGAATACCTCTGAACCTCGGTCAACTGCATCCACAAATTCAAGTTACAACTCTACTATGCAAAGAGAAAAACATATATAAACCAGATCCCGACACACCACCACCTTCTCTGGGTTAAGCTCATTTAAGATGAACTGAGACAAAGTGGAAAACTGCCCTGTGGTCTGACGAGTCAAAATTTGAAATTCCTTTTGGAAATCATGTATGTCACGTCCTTCAGGCTAAATAGGAGAGGGACCCTCAGGCTTGTTATGAGCAGGTCAAAAGCCAGCATGGGGGTGCATTAGTGCACATGGCATCAGTATGAATGTGAATGTGAAGGCACCATTAATGTTGAACAACATGTACAGATTTTGGAGCAACATTTGTTGCCATCCTGACAATGTCTTTTTCAGTGAAGGCCTTGTTTATTTCAGCAAGGCAATGCCAAATCACATTCTGCACATATTACATGGTTCCACAGTAAGAGTCGGGGTACTAAACTGGCCTGCCTGCAGTCCACATCTGTCACTCACTGCAAACATTTGGTGCATTATAAAGTGAGAAATACGACAAAGCAGGCCACACACTGTTGAGCCGCTAAAATCCTCTATCGAGCAGAAATAGGAAAACATTTGCCTTTCAAAACTAAAACAGTGGGTGTCCTCACTTCCCAAACACCTGCAGAGTGCTGTTAGAAGAAGAGGTGATGCAACACATTGGTAAACATGCCCCTGTACCAACTTTGTTGAAAAGTGTTGCTGGCATCAAATGTAAAATGAGCAGATCCCCCCCCCCAAAAAAAAATATTCTCAGTTTCATATTTTCAAATAAATATATGGGTTTTAAAAGACTTTCAAATCATTTCATTCACTTTATTATTTACAGTTTAGACAGTGCTGGGGTTGTAAATTTGTAGTCAAGAGCCCTCCCGTACGATGACATCACCATGACATCATCAGGGTTGTTTTATCACTCAGAAGATATTATGCAACTGACAGGCTGAGCAGTACTCTTCATAACTGTTAAAACTGGCCTTCATGTGACAATTATTACTCAGTGGACCTGTACTGCATATATTACTGTATCATTTGAATTATCAGCATTTTAATATTGCAACTGGAGCAACTCAAGGTGGAGTTAATTTGGCCTACTTACACTGGTGGGTAGTCTAAAATATAATAATGCAACATACTCACTAAGTCCCATTTGTATGTAAAATCTCCACCAACTAGTAATTACAATTAAATGTAGTGGTGTACAAAGTGCATGTACAATATTCTCCCCAGAAATGTAGTGGAGTAGGATTATATAAAAAAAAAAACAAGATAATAAAACTCAAGTACCCCAGAACTGTAGGGGAACTCTGCCAGTTTAACACATCACAGTCTGTTTACAGATCTTGGAATCTACTGCAACATATGTGAACAAAGTTGTTTAAAGACTTTTGTGACTCCAGAGGAAGCTGCATGAAATGTATCGCTCATTCTGCTGCATCAGTTTGAATACTTTTTTAAACTGTACAACATGAGCCCCACAATGTTATAAGAGTGAAATGCTAAACTGGTGGAGTACTCTTACAAAAATGCTTGGGTAAATGCACTTTCTAGTAATGACATTTACCAGTTCTACTTTGTTCCTGCCCTTTGTTCAGGCTCATGTCTACTGTAGAAACATACAGTATATGCAGTTAAATAGGACACATGGCATTGAGCATGGAAAGCTAATGAAAATACATAATATTAAAGAATGGACTCATGCATCTTGACAAAAAATAACAGCATTATTATTCTTGCCACTGTACTTGAGTTCTGAAATTTAGTGTTCAATAAGTTTGTTTTGGCAAATTTTGCCTGAATAGTACAAAGAACAGTCACTGTAGCTGCATACATTTATACAGAGCTGCTTGGGCCAGTTGTTCCTGAATTAGATTTATTAATCAACAACCAAAGTGTATTCATTAATATTTGTCAAATATAAGATGTGAACAGATCTGAATGGTTTCTGCTGACAATTAAACCTGCACTTGTTGCTTAGAATGATAAATGAGGGCCATTGACCTGAAGGCTAGGCAGGTGAAGAGAATGGACATCATCCACTTCACTGGAATACAGAAAGATGGACTGATAGAAACCTACAAAGCCTCAACCCCCAGTGGTACAGTGCATAGCAGGAACATCGTGTGTTTGTGTTTTACCAGACTGCTGAAGCGAGATCAGGTGAGTACATGTGTGAGTGAGGTGGGTGGAGAGAAAGGGAGAGAGAAAGAGAGAGTCAAGGCTGGATGGATCAAAGCTGAACAGCTGCCAACACCTCTCGAGTGTGAACATGTTGTCATGAGTCTGTCAATCAGCATTTGCTCGCATCGGTGTGCCAACACTGGTGTTGTGTGTGTGTGTGTGTCTAAATAAACCTGGCACAGTGAGAGCAGCTGAAAAGTAAAACAAAACTCCTTGTTGTTTCTATCACCGTTCTGGAGTGTATGTATTTACCGGCATCCAGAAACCAGTAATCACATTACATGTCAAATTGAATGAAAGAGAAAGTGAGAGGCCAACTCACTGAGGGAGGAACAATTTGATGACTGTTGAGCTCCTGTGCATACACAATGTAATGTGTGTGCCTGCTGTGTGTGTGTGTGGGCCCTGCAAATTCACCTCATGGATGAAGTCCCCAATGTCTCCAGGGTGGGGCACAACAGGTCTGATTGGGTACTGGGACTCAGGGATGATGGGACGTTCATCCACCCTGCGGACGCCAGGCGGCTTGCTGATGATATGCTCCAAGGAGTCAGGCTGCTGCAGCTGACTCAGGTCATAGTCCTACACAGAAACGTACAGATATAAGCAGGCATGGGAAGTCAACGCAGAAAGCACATTTCTATTTGCGTGCATCTCTTCGGATCTTACCTGGTCCTCCTCGCCTCCTCCCTCTTCGTCATATTTGAGGATATTGTCTCTGACATCATCTTCAGGATCAATTAGCAGCTGCTTAGTCTGCCTTTCCTTCTCCCTGCGCTTGATCCACACCACAAACAACAGCACCATGCCTGCAATAATACATACATGAACATGCTGACCTTTAGGGCACACTAAGAGGTAAGATTATGTAAATCATGTGTGTGTCACCCTTGAAAAGGAATCTCAAAACCTGATGTGCTTTACTTGATTAAACAGAAAAATAAACCAGTTATGGGCAGCATGGTGAAGCAGTGGTTAGTTCTGTCACCTCACAGCAAGAAGGTTTTAGGTTTGAGCCCCGGTCAACCCAGTGCTTTCTGTGCCGAGTCTGCATGTTCTCCCTACTTGGCTTCCTCTCTGGGTACTCCGGCTTCCTCCCACACCCCAAAGACATGCAGCTTAGGTTGATTTCTATGGGTGTGCATGACTGACTGTAAGTGTCAGCCCTGTGATAGACTGATAGATCTGTCCAGCCTGTACCCCACCTCTCGCCCCCCAACGACCCTCTTCAGGATAAGCGGTATAAATAACGGATGGATGGATGGATGGATGAACCAGTATGGAATTTGGGTCATTGCCAAAACTTGACTTGGTGATCGCAGTAGTAATGATCTCTGTATGTATGAACAATGTAATCCATGGTAACAAATTAAGTCAGTGTCATGAATCACTGGCAAGTCAGACAGCAGCAGATACTTTCTCAACCAGGAAAAGAAGATAGAAACTCTTTGTAGATGCTGGAGATGATTCTAGAGGTCAAGGTAATCATCCATTATACAAACTATTGTTCATGTTGTATTACAGCCTAGTGAATGTTTAATGGCTGTGACCTGAACCGCACTTTTTGGGGGAAAAGCTAAATAAAGTCAATGACAGGCAGCTTTAACTTTTGCATTGTGCACACGTGTGTGTGACACAACAGAAAGTGGTGAAGTGTGTGTAGATGAATGTGATCTGAACAGTTGATACTCACTGAGCAGTATGATGATGCAGATGAGAATGGAGATGATGGCTCCAGTTCCCAGGCCAGCGGCTGCCACGGCTCCAAGAGTGGTGCAGTCTCCGTTTTCATCGCAGGGACACACCTTCACTTTGATGACTGACCTGTTGGACAATGGAGGGTTCCCCGAGTCTGACACAATCACAGGGACCTCATACATCCCCGGCTCTAAATATATCTGGTTTCGCAGACCCAGACGGGCATAGTCGCCTGTGTAGAGTGAAGAGGAAAGAGAATAATTACTAGATGTTGCAATTAATCCCATTAATATTCCAAAATTACAGTGACCGTCTACCTGCAGCCTAACTGACCAGCAATTTACATAAGCAGTTTATTGTGACCAAAATCTGGAAAATAGGTGAAATCGGTATCTCAGTATTAGCTGGAAAGCTATATACTGTGTCATCTGATACTATATCTATCTACCTATCTACAGTAGCCTATATGAACGGTGGACCCTAGAGACAGAGCACATGCAAAACGAGAACGCACTGCAAATCCCAAGAAGCAAATGCAAAAACACAACATGCTGCAAAACCCACAGCACAAACAAATGTCAAAGCAAATGCAAAAAGAAACAATAGCCAGCCATAAAGTCCAAACTGAACACGGCAGTAGAAGTATGAACATTGTTGCTGCCTATCCAAGTCAAGCTCATCACTCCCCCGTGGCGTCCCGGAGCACTTCCCTTATGGCTTTTCTTTTTTGCATTTGCTTTGACATTTGTTTGTACAGTGGGTTTTGCAGCACGTTCTGTTTTTGCACATGCTTTGTCTCTAGGGGCCACCCTACATCGGTGTTTGTGTATAAGTGGTATAAGCGGCTAACAATCAGAACAATTTACTATAGTACTATACTAAGTTTTGCTGCACATCAGAAGCATTTTTTTATTGGACTGTACTTCCACACTGACACCTCCTCACCACTAATCCGAGAAATTGTCCAGTTGCGTCGAATGCTGGTGGGGAAGTTTGACAACTCGAAGACAAAGGGTCCGGCGTTGGGGTCCGTGTCAGCGTCAGCGGCTGTGATGTTGACACCGTTGACGTTCCTGTTCAATCTCTCACAGATCTGAGACTCCCTGGGTATGAGCGCTGGGGGGTTGTCATTAATATCTATCAGATAGATCTGCAGCGTTCCTGTGCCGCTGGCTGCAGGAGAGCCTGGGAGCAGGGAGACAGATGAAAAAATAGTATCATGATGAGAGGAAAAGATGACAAAATAAGATGTGTGTAGTGAAAGGGACAATTGAGAGGGAAGAGGGACAGGAATTGAAGACTAGAGGGAAGGCAAATAATGAAAAAGAATTTTAAAAAGAGATTAAAAAAAAGTAGCACTGAAAGGAACACTGTTTATTCACAATGGTGATGCTAAGCTTAGGGATGCCAAAGAGCTGCAGGAGAATTTCTGCCCTCAACAGAAACACTTCTGACAGTTTAGCCTTACAGTCAAATCAAACCCATCACAGTCAATCCAGATGCGGGCACAGCACATCAGTCACCCTGAGAGGGCTGAGGTACAATAATGATGACTGTAACACAATCAAACAAGTCCTAGTCTGTGTGTATTTACACAATACTTTGAGAGCTGTCTAAGATTCTGTAGATAAAGGCACGTCTGCCTGCAATATTAATAATGTATTTCTGAAAGATGAACTGGGCATTTTCATTGTGGTGCACACAGTCCTTCATTCTCAGATAACACAATAACTTAAATATTGCAATACATACATGCATACAAAACTATTCCCTGCTCACAGACAATCAAGTATTCTTGATAATATTTTACTCAACTTTCCAGTAACCTCAAGAATATCACCAAAACCCTTAATCATTACTTTGTTACCTGAGCAAGTAAAGCAATATGAAATCAGTTGTGACTTGCCCACAGTGCAGACTATGCTTATCTCATGAGGTATTTTATTTTTTTAATAGAGACAATATCCACCGATGAGCCAAAACATGACCACAGATGAAGTGAGATAGTTGAACATTCATTATATTATAATAACAGCACAATATGTCTGGGATATATTGGATGCTAAGTGAACTGTTGGCTTTGATAGCCGACATGTCTATAAGAAGGGTCAAAATGAGGTCAGAGCATCTTCAAAATGGCACGGCTCATGTGTATGCTCCCAGTTACCAGTGGTGAGTACCTACTGACAGTGGGGTAAGCATTGCCAGGGGTTCAAGGACAGACAAAGCACAAACTGTACAACATTATGAGAGGAATGTATCACAACACACAGTGCACTGCACCCTGCTGGTCAGAGTGGCCTTGCACAGACGTACAGATGTAGCCTCTCACATAACAGCTGTGAAAAGTTATGATATTGTCTTTCATGAACTCTCGCTGACTTCACACCGTAGTTTCAGATGAGTCCATGTTTGTCTGTGGCAACTATAAAGGCAATTGAAGAAATTTGGTCTGATCCTGGGCAGCCATTACAGGTGCTGGTTCACTACAATAATGTCAGCCTTGGACTGTAATAACATGCACTGGTGCGCACAGACACACACCTCATCTGCAAACATAATTCTGAAGTACTTTACATTGAGCAAACAGGCCAACAGCATTTATAGAGAATTGAGAGTAAAGAACAGCCACTTTAAAGAATCAAAGACAATCTAGCAGAGCAAGGCCACAATTGCATGAATGTTTATATGTGGTATGAAGATGTGGCAGAGAGAAATCTGAGAAAAAGAATGCTTATCAGTACAAAGCTCAGAGCTGTTTGTTGAGTGTGTGTCGTGGGGTGACGACCCTTAGCTGCCTCCAATTACAAGTCATTTTCCTGCCATGCCCCACTGGCTGAGTCACTGGATGGAATCAAACGACCCATGGGCCCATCTCTGGGATGAGATAAGGGCAATGTAATTTACAAAGATTATGCAAAGCTGGCAGATCTGCCAATTAAACATGGCAACAGAGGAAGACATTTGCCACAAGGAAAGTGAGACACAGTTGAAGATGGAGGGTGGTGATGGTTGGTTAAACAATCAAAAAGAATAAGAAAAGGGCTCGAAGAACAGAATAGATGCAACAAAACATGTTGATGTGATTAGTTATCATGAGACAAATAAATATTAGATGAAAAATACATTGAAATAAAAATTATAATTGATGGCATAATAACTCAAGTAACTACATTCTTATTATGACTATATATTACTTCATAGTTGTTCTATGATTACATCATAGTCTATATTATTATTACATCTATTAGTACATACATTATTACCCCCATCATATTCAACAGGTTATAAATATATGCTATCCAAATGTTTCTAACTGCTATTTAGGGGATTTTATTTGGTTCTTACTATTACACTATCTATTAGTGGCTACTTGCAAGCACTGTTACACATATTGTATATATACTTAATGTAGGTCTTAAATACAAATTTAACACATCTAGGTAATTCATAAACACACAGGTTCAAACACACACCTACACACCACTCTGCCGGTGTGTTAATCCCAGGCATGTATGGGGGACATGTGGAAGCAGCTTGCCACAGCTGATAGGAGAATTATGTGGGTCTTAACTAGCTAAATAAATAATTATGTTTGTGTAAATTCCTCAAAAGGATTTGTATTAACTCCTTTTATTGATGGTGGCTCAGAGATGTGTGGCGTGTTGAAAAGACTCGTAGCAAACCTTCCATATGTTCTTTGAAGACCACTTAAATGCAGTATATAAACAATACCACAGGTTTCTGGAAAGGAAAACGGTGTCAAAAGGGAAGGAGGCAGTCAGATTGTGCTGGAAGGGCATAAAAAAGATGCAATGCAATGCAAGTGTAGTCCTCACCAAGCTGCCATCAGCTCTCCATATCCTACTACCTTACTTCTTACCATAATCCCTCTCATGTTATGATGGCTGGCACTCCAGCAATACTCATGCAGTCAGACACATGTACACACAGAAGCACACATACACGTTATTTGAACTGTTGGTTTGTCTTTAGAAGTCACGTCTGTTCTAATATCAGCCAAACCTACAATAGCAGTAACATGCCTGTATAAACTGTGTGCCTCATGAAGGCCAGGCAAAGAAAAAAAATTCTGAAGGGCCTATAAACTGTTCAAGGAAATAGACAAGGCCTGTGATGGACCGGAGACCTGTCTGGGTGTACCCTGCCTCTTGCACAGTGGCAGCTGGGATTGGTGAAATAGACAACATATTGAAATGATAAAGACAGGAAATGACAGGGAGAGAAATAAAACAAGGAACAGGGAAATTTGTTTTTGAAATCCAGCTACACAGGAGCGCACTGCCTCTAATCCAGCTGCCTCTTCCTTCCCATCAGCACAGCAGGTTACACAACATGGTGTCTGACATTGCCAATTACAGCAAATAAATGTAAAGAAATACACATATTTCTTCACCTAAATGTGTTGCAAATGAATGCATTCACACATGCTTGCACCTATAAATACGCCAGTGTTTCCAAGCCAGCTCATCTTAAGGTAAACTCACCAGTGCACTGCACGTCATTGATAAGGTAAGTGGGGAGGGAACAAGCCTTCTCTTTTTATGTCACATTGGTTTTCTGTGGTTGAGTTTGTGCTCAGTTAAGCTTGGGTTTCATTTCTGGGACAGAGCAAACAATGTATGTCACATGAATTGTAAGAAAAAGCAAAAAGGAAAGGAGAATAAAAAGGTAGGAGCAGAGGAGAGGTGTGGAGAAGAGACATGATTAACAGTGCGACCACCTCTGTGAGTCCAGGATTTTATCCAAGTCTAGCCCAGCTGCACTGCACTTGAATGTCTTTCTATCTGTTTAACCACATGCAGATTTCTTTGCTTTTATTACGTTGTTACAGATATACTCAAGTGGCTTAATTCATAGATTGTGTTTTAGAATTTTTTTGCACACTCTACAGAAAGATACATCTTTGACAATTTTTACCCTAACACATTTATCTAAACACGGGCTCCTTATCAACAATGATTCACACTCACTCTAATTATAATCACTATAATTATAATGTCAGTAGACATAAATTAATGACAAGATGTTCCACAAAGTGTGGCTACAGAGAAATATGCCAAAGCAGCATCTTTTGATAAAAACTGCATTCACATTCTTGCTGTTCAAGAACAGCCAACGTTCACATATTAATCATGATGAGAAATGTGAGAATAAGTTGCAAATATATTCAGAACGAAGCATGATAGTATCTCCGTAATCAAAAACAGCCTCAAAGAATTAAAAATCACAAATACGTTACTGAAAAAACATGCACTAAAAATCCTCTTACCGTTGTCTGTTGCCAGGAATGTGGCTTCATATACATTGTTTTTGACATAGATGGATTCCCGGTCGAGCATCGCTGTGGTTACTATCTGACCATTAGTTCTGTTGATGGACAACCAGTCTGCAGGGTCATTCAGCTTTGAATACCTTAAGACACACAAGGACAGATCGATGGAGATGTTAACGGTGGTGTTTCAGCATTTACAAGTAATTATACATTTTCTCTTGTGTCTGTGCATAAATAGATTGCCTGCACATACACACACGCCCAAAATCACAACAGCCTGACCTTCACACAGTTTAATTCTTCATTGACTTTTCCTCCAGAGCCTGAAGCCTACAGTCAATTTCACCTCATTTTCATTTCTGTGTACCAGGCACTGAAGTCAATTACCTTCCTAGTTAAGCACTGCTGCAACTGCCTGTGTATATGTTACATGCACGTATTCTAGAAAGTGCTTGGTTATGCTGGAAAAGGATTATATACAGGTGCTGCAAATGTTCATGTGTCTGTGTGTAGGGGGAAGCTGTGTATAGAGTGCAGACCGGATGATAGGATCTCGGTAACGATTGTGAAACAGGAAAGTGGATGTGGTAGCAGGTGGTGACACTCCCCTGGGATAAGGGCAGAGAAGGAACAGGGGATCATCTCCAGAATTGAATGCCAATCTCACTCTGATCTAACTGTTCTTGTTTCCCAGGCTTTTGTTGCTTTTGGTTCGTTCCACACTTTCAATTCTATCTGATCGCTCTCAACACTGTCGCCTCACCTCATCTTGCTGTGCTTTTGTATTCATACGTTTTCTTATCCCTGTCTGTATCTTCTCATCGTTGTCTCATTCCCTCTGTGATACAGAGTTCATCAACTGCCACCTCTCTTGGCTGCAGGTGTGGACATGTGATACTTTGGCCTTACACATTAAGGTTTCTACATCAGTCGGGTTTCATTTACTGAATGTCAGTTTGGGCAATAAGGCCATGTTATTGTCCGACATATACTTGCACTTTTTAAATTAATGCAACCTGAAATGGATTTGACCTCATAACTTTGCTTTTATATTTACTGAATTGTAGTGTAGTGCAAGGTCCAGTGGCTAATTTATTTGTTTAAATACCATATGTACATTTCTACTTACTCTGAGAAGAATGAGAACTTAGAGAACTGGGTGGTGGTAAGGAGGGGGTGGACAGAGAGTATTATCTCTCTCCTGCAGTGAGGGAGGTAGGATTTTCCCAGCAGGCAGTGGGCATGATCCCAGGCAAAGCGCATTGCGGGGAAGGGGATCACAGAGATGACATTCCCACACTCTTGATGGCTTCACGCAGGCGAGCCAAACCCACAGCCACTGACTGGCAGACTGAAATCACCAGCAGGACTGCAGTGAGTCCATCACAGTCAGGGGATGAATGGGAGACGGAAATGATCAGGAATGTGTGGGAGGGGAAAGAGGGACAGGGAGAGGTAGCATTCCGAAGTAGCAGCATGTTTTGTATGATCTGGCTTTAAGATCCTCGCTGAGATTGACATGATACCTGTCTGCTCTTCTCTGTCCAACAGCATCTCTATTGGCTTTGCCATGCCAAACTGTCTCTCTCTGTCTGGGCTGGGAGTAGAATGTTCTTTCCAGTGGAGGACAGACAAACTGGGGCACTTTCTACCGAGCGGAGGGAAAATAAAGGGTCAGTTCACTCATATACCCACAAAATTGCTCTTGTAAAAACATGCTTTTGAATTTATTGAAGGACACATGTTGGGGAAATTGTTTATGCTCCAAGACTTAGATTAGATGATTAGATACAACTCCTTTCTGTGTGCTAAAAATGAAGGCAGAGCCAGCAGGCGATTAGCTTAGCGGGGGCAAACAGCTAGCATGGCTTCATCCAAAGATTAGAAAATGTGCCTACCAGCCCGTCTATGGGTCACTAATCAACACAGTAGATCTTGTTTGGTTAATCTGTACAAAATTGAAGTCTGCAGCCCTGGAGATTCTGCTAATTGCCTGGATGCCTCACAGTGATGACAAGACTGGGAGAGGTCACTTAACTTACTGTTTTATAGTTCAGTTTCTGTGCAGATTAAGAAGAAGTGTTAATTAGTTAGCATTAGAGGTGTTGGTACTGCAAGTGGATTCGTTTTTCTCTCTTTTTTTCTGACCTCTGAACAGGACCAGAGTAGCTGTTGCCTTAGCATAAAGTTTCTAGGCTTTCAGACAGTTGTATCAACCTACTCAACTAGCTTTCACCAAGAAAGTGAACAAATGCAATTCCCAAAACTATTCATGCCACCACAAAGGAAATTCTATTGGCCCTGGGAGAAGAAAAGACAAAAATGGAGAAAATGGTGTATATAAAATGTTTTCCTCAGTAATGAGCTATAAAATACCACTGGCAACCTATTCTTTTCTGGGCACACTGCATGATAACACAAGGGAATGTGTACCCTCTGATGATAAAAGCCATAATGCGAAGGTTTGTTCACAAAGCAGAGTGTTCTGCTCACCACTACACTTTAATTAGGTCTCCTAAACAGCTCTGAGTGCAGATGTAATAAACCTCATATGAAGAAAATAAAGTCCTGAATGAACAGTCTCTGGAGCTGAGCTGATTTCCAACACAAAGGCCAGACAGTGCTCTGCATTGTCAGTCCAGGTCTTGAGAAAAACTCCAAGTAAGTTAACAGCAAAGTGTGGCTGGCTTTATACAGCCACATGCACTTACTTCAGCTTTGCTGATCATGCTTGGTTAGTGATAGGCTACTGTGGCCATTAGAACAATGACTGTGAAAACACCCCACAGTGTTTTTGTTTACAGGTCCAAACTGTCAACAACATTACTGTGGGCATTTGGCAAACCCTTTCACAAATTTTTTAATGAAGCACTGTGCCAAAATCTTGTCTTCTTGGAAAGGTAAAGAGGCCGTTTTTGAACAAAAAAAAAAGTGGCTTAAATGTTATATTGTGTGAAAGTTTTATTATTCTTTCCTGTGTCCTATTTCCAGTGCTTTCAGCTCTCGTCTACCTGAAGGATTCTCTCATTTGGGAGATGGCTGCTGTGCGAGTACAGCTGGATGTATGATTAGGCCTGGCAGGTTAGTGATCTTAGCAAGCAGCAGGCAGAGATATGACATTTATTTTTCCAACCTCCAACCCTGAGAGTGAAAAATGGATGTCTCAAGCTTAGTCAAGGCATTTTGGGTAATCATTTATGCCAGTGTCTCCAGTCCCATGTCTTGACCTTACTGGTTAGGTGTCTGTTAGGTGATGCATGATGCCTCCCTCTCCCCACCCTGCTCCTGTCCACATTACCTCCTCCCCAACCCCAATAGGACACTGTCAGTTTGTCCCTCCTTTGATAAGCTTCTGTCAAGTTCAAACCTTGACCCGGTGTCAGCCCACCATCCACAACTCCCTTCTGCCTCTCTTCACAGCCCCTTACATCTTCACCTTAGTTTAGTCTTTTAAAGCTCCTTCTTATTCTTATCCTTGTCTCTCATTATGTATCTACACCATCCATTTATTAACACATACTGTGCGCCATATACAGACATACACCATAAATTACATGTAACATATACTGTGGTGTCAAACCTAAGTGTCTCCTCTGTGGAAAGAAATGTGTCAGATATCACAGACAAAAATATGACAGGGTGATGTAGACACTGCATAGGGTTTTAGCTGACTGGCAAGAATGAGCCTCTGGATTTCTGTTTCTTCAGAATAATGAGGATTCAAGACATAGAGGGAACAGCTGTGATTAGCGCCTTTGCATAACAGTCTAAAGTAGACACCTTTTATGGAACTGCTGTAAAGCAGCGGGATTGATAGCGATCCTATCCAGATGAATCAAAACAAATGAGACGGTGCATTTGCTATCTCCCACTTCCTTATGTGGTGAGAGCAGAGATTTAGTTTATGTTAAAGAGACTGTGACAGATCACAGCATGCTTGTAAATGGCTAATTTAATTCCAAGATGTACAGGGGCTGCAATCTTGAACAGGTCACGTAAAAACAGGAAGGAAATCAAAGAGGTCGAAGTGAATTCAACAGGGAGAGAGGAAAAGAGAGAGGAAGACAGAGAGACACCAGCTGGTGACTTTGGCATCTTCCTAAATTATAACGTACACCCAATTTACTCTCATTTGCTGTGAAATTAGCTGGGAAATTTGTTTAGATATTTCCCCGGAGAAAATGGTAAGGAAGTGGCTTTTGGAGTCGGAGGTGGCTGGAAGTGGGTGGTATTAATGTCACACTGAATAGCCATGTTATCAACTCATTTGCTGTGCTATACTGTGTTGCTTTTAAATTACACCAAAACACTCACTATACTGCAGTTGTGTTATTTTAATCAAAAGCGTTCTCTTTGCAACATCAATACTGAGCAAAGCTTACTTTATAGATTACCTCTAAGTTTGAAAGGCTGTGATACAGTCACTGCTGCTCTCAGACTGACAACACAATCGAGGAAAGGTCTGCTGGTCATTCAAAGGTTGGTTTACATTTAAAACCCAGCGAGGCTTAGCACAGGGAGCGAACACTGCAGGTGGACATAATGCTGTGTCAGGCATTTGGGCCGGAGCCAGTTGTTCTTTCTACCCTCCCTCCATCATTCCTGTCATCTTTTCTGTTCTTGCGCTCTTGTTTGTGTGTGCACCTGCTTGGATGTACTTATATAACCTACAGAATGCACACACTTCTGATTACCCCAGAGGCTACTGTACCCTATTAACCTTCTTACACACACCCCCACTCAGAGTTCTCTGCTGGCTCATAAACTTCACAAAGCAGGACTTTGAGAGACGGATGATGCCAAAATATAGTCCCGTTGTTGAACTCTCACCCCTAACTACTGACATGGAACCTATCCAAAAGGCTTTTTAGCCTGCTGTTAGCGCATATGGAGGGATTTCTGCCAGGCTTTGCAATGCAGCTACCGAGACTTCAAGCCTCATTTGGGCAATACTCTTCTGCATATAGAGACTGTCCACATGTATCAGAACATATCCAATGAAAATTAAACTAATGGAATGCAACTAAGATGTCAAAATGATCCCAATTAGGATTCCCTTTGTCTGATCTATTGCAATCATCCAGTACCTGATTGTCTGTTGCATCTGTAGTCGGTCAGGATCTGAAGCTGAGAAGGTCGTCAGGCTGGTGCCTGCAGGGACCCCCTCCTCAAAGCGGATATGTTTAGGGTTTGTGGGAAAGTAAGGGGCTTCATTGACATCCTGGACAGATATGGTGACCCCAGCTGTGGATTGGAGAGAAGATTGGATGCCACTAGCTAGGTGGGCCTGGTTGGACACCACCACCGTCAACATGAAGGCACGGTTCATCTCAAAATCTACTGGCTGGAGGGAGGAAGGAGAAGATAAGGTTCAACTGAGTTTAAGTAGGTTAAATGTTATAAAGCCTTCAGTCAAACAGTCAAAGGTAGTTTGTAGATAATCAAATCCAGCAAGAGGGATCAAATTACATAAGTACCATGTACACCAGCAATGTTGCAGCAATACCTTTTATAGTCACTCTTGAATGCTACAGTATATACATCTGTGCTTTTATGTTTAATGATTGCAGAAATATGACATAAATATCAAATGGGTAGACACAATGATATGAGCACTTTTAATACACACAAATTACAGCCTCAAATTTCACAGAAGTGAATAAACAGCACAGCCCGAACAAAACGAGACATTATAAACTATATTTACAGTATGTGGTATTAGTATTATCATTGTGGCCATATGTACTATATCATTTTATTCGAGTTTTTCAGTGGGAAAAATGGCTGAAACTATATTTTACTGTCAAAAACAAATAAATTCTTTACTTAATGCTACAGTATTGTCAGTACTGATGTAAATAATAGAGAATAAACAATTTTCTCATCTTGTGCTGTCAGTGATTATTACTACTATTAATGTTATTAACATATTTTATGAGCAAAATATGTCAAGTATTCAGGCACAGGACATACTATACACATTTTGCTGGTTAAGTGTTAAAACCCCTGCCAACATTTTTCTTTCTGCCTGTGGCTGGGGAATATGTGTTGAATCTTGTTGATGATAAAGAACAAGCTATATGAACAGATGTCGTGTCAAGTGGTTCCCTGATGAATTGGACCTATATTCTCTCTTAATAACCAAAGAGGCAACACACACACACACACACACACACACACACACACACACACACACACACACACACACACACACACACACACACACATATAAACATAAACACACACCTTGGGAAGAGACAGCAGGGCTTTGACTATTCATAGGGAGCTGTCATGGCTCTGCATTTTTTGAGCGAGTGAGTTTGTGTGTCTGTGTGTGTGTACCCTACAGGGGGTTTAACTGGCTGAACCTAAACCAGAGTGACAGTTCCGTGGACTCCTAATGAAGGCGACATGTTCAGGTTCAAGTGATAACAACAACAAGCCAGGAAATAAAAAAGAGAACAAATATGCTGTTTGTAGGTACTGCTGGCACATTTCTAACTAGGCAGCTGATGATTACCGCCACAAGGCTTGTGTCAGTGCTGTTTGATGGTGATGTTAATGACTTTGAGCACATCTGTATGTTGCGTCGCCACAGTGTTTTCAGTGGACAGTGTGGCAGCACTGCTTTGATATTAAAAAAGCATCCTTAATCAGGCAGCTGCTTCACAAGGGCAGTATATGTTTGTGTGTGTGCTGGCTGGTTAACCTTTGTGCATGTAGGTGCATGTTGGTATAAGTAAATGTAAGCACATGTATGTGTGTTCGTGCAAGACACCATGGTGCACTGGGAACCCATTTACAGGCTACCCATGCTCAAGGCACTTTGATCTGCAGCCAGTGGTATTCAGAGCACAGGGTGCTCTACAGTATAGCTGTAGGCTAACTAAAACACACACACACACACACACACCCACCCTGAGGGAAGTCAGAAGGGTTAGAGGTCAATAACACAGCTTCCATCTTGTGCCCATGGGCCATCACATCTTACATCTATGTATCGCTTCACTCGTTCTTCTCTTTCACTCTTACCTAATTTGTTCCACCAGACTCCAACTTCCCACCACCTCATCTTCTCGCCTCTGCTCCACCCCCCACCCCCACTACCTGCCCTCCCCAACTCCCAGTGATCTCTCCCTCTCTGCAGTCTGCATTTCTCAAACCTTGGAAATCTGTCTTCGCTTCACTTCTCTCCTCCTCTCCACTTCCCTTGTCATCTGCCATGTTTATCATAAGCTGTGATTTACATATCTTAATGACTCATTCAAACCAAGCAGCTCTGTTTGTGTGCTTTTATGCACGCCTGTTTGTCCTCTGGCTCTATTACCAAGCAACAAAATGAGAAAATGTCTCATAAACTCCCCAGAGAGCAGTGGAAACGTGTGACATGTTCTGAGTAAGACCTCAGTTAAGACCTCAGACCTTGTATACAGAGGAGCATAGGTCCCTCATGAAACACAGCCTGCCTCATACCTGGGTGTCAGTGGACTTCAATCTGTTTGTACTATCACCCATAGACGCCTCATTAAAACATGAACACCAAGGTAGCACCTTGTGTTCATGTCTTGACTTTACATATCACACATTATCTGTTGTGAGCCATTTTAGCTTTGTTTCCCCAGACTGAGTGGACGCCCCTGTGTTTATTTGTTGAGACAGTCTGTTTCTTGTTTTTCCCAGCAGGGTGTCCTGTCGCTTATTTTATGATTTCCTGATAACCTCTCATGGGTCTCTGTGGAAGCTTATGGCTGCTGAATTTGACATCAGGGAATGAGAGGGATGGATTATAAAAGGCATTCATCTAGAGATAATGAAGAGAAGCAAAATACCAATGCTCATTGCTCAGGGTGCTGTGGGAATTATATGTAATATGATATGTAATTGCTGTTTAAAAAACATTATTATAAGATACGAGTTGTGATTTGCATGAGTCAGATATACAAGGGCAATAATGTTGGGTCCTAGGGGTCACAAAAATAAACAAGGTGCTTCTACAAACAAACATTTGCGATGAACCACTCATAGATGAACACACGAATACATAGCCTAAAGTCCATTTATACACTTTACATACACACAGAATATAAGCTGAATATCATATTTTTCTGTTCTTTTTTGTAAATGGGTTAAAATCCTCAGGACAACATGTGTCTGAGAGGTTAAACTCTAACATAGCAGGTTGTTACAGGACATGGCTTTGTTGTTGCTGTCATTTACCACAGCAGCTAGAACATTATGAGTGTATAAAAAAAAACACTGCCTTTGTAATTGAGAAATCAATACCTAATCTGCTACAGTGGTCTTGCCAGCCTTTGTATTTAAGTCTGTCTGTGAGTGTATGAGCTGTTTCTGAAGGGCGCAGCGGCCTCCAATCCCTCATTTAGACATAAAGGGGCAAATGAAAGACAAAGATCCCAACCTGTCCCCATTTAACTCTGTAGTCTATTATTATTGCTTGCGCTAAAAGAGGAAAATCTGACATTCAGCACAGAAAAAGAGACAACAGTTTTTTCTACACTGAACCCTCTATAGGGCCAGAAGCTGACAGGCGGTGTCTTACCTTAACCACGGTAACCATGCCATCATTGGTGACAGGGTCAGTGCGGATGGTGAAGTGCCCAGATGGGTCTCCACTGATGATCCTGTAGATGGCATTCCAGTTGGGCGAGTGTGGTTGGTCAGCATCTATCACCGTCAAATTAGCCACCACAACATCCACTCGGTTTTCTGGGACCTCACCGGAAAACTACATAGAGTAAAGTAAAATGATACCTTGTGATATGTTGCATCAACATATCTTTACTTTTATTGTTAGCTGAGGTCTTTTGGGATGCATTGAGCCGTTGAGTGTGCCAATTTATACAAAAAAGCCACTGAGTGTGTATCTCTCTTTTACATTTTTCTTTATAGAGACGGTCCTCTTTTCAGTTTTTCAGGTAGAGTAAATTTAATGATCTTGCTTTTACCACTGCTGAGTAGTAAACAAGCCGTAAACACACCAGCAAGCACACGGGCGTTGTTCCACTCTTAATGTTTTCTGCTTTTTCTGCATTCTACGTACAACGGGTACGTAGAATGCAGAGTTGACAGGCGATATTTCATTCTTTTGAAAGCCAGAGTGACAAAGGAGGAGAGAAAGGAGGCAGTAGTGGGGAGGGTTAAAACAGCTGCTTGAGTGTGTATGAGTGACTTTTAGTTGTCCCCATGCTGTACAAACACATGTGCTTTGTCCTGATAAGCCCAATGAGGAGTGAGCTGCTGTCTGTCATGTGTCTGTTATGGTGGGGATTGATCAAAGCCGTATGGGCTCAGGGGATAAAGCCCACAAAGACGAACTAACAACAGCAACAACATCACAGCTACCCTGTAAAATACAAGTCGACCGCTGCACCACCTATATGAACAACCCATCAAGGATTAACTGATCATGTGAGGTCAGAAGGTGAGCATGCTGTCATGTCTTCACCTCATTTTGTGGCAACACGCATGGACTCACCGCATCACCAAGGGTAACAGGCGTGGAAGAGCCACCGAGCTGCTTATGTGAGTATAGGATATCAAAGAGCAAAGCCCCAGACCAAACACTACGACAGACCATAATACCCTGCCTGGCAACCCTCACATCGCCCAGCAAACAGTCGAAAGCAGCGGGAAGATTAAGGTGCTGTGTCAGGAGTGCTGTTCAGGACTCAATGACATTCTTAAGAAAACAGACAAGTCCGGGTGGTCCTGATGAACTGCCTGCATTGGATAAGTCATATGTTGGTGTCAGAGTGTGTGTGTGCTAGTTTATTACTGTGGTTTGGTTACATCAGGCACCCAAACCTCAAGTCATAAAGTGCTTATTTATTTTTCTCATAGATGACTATCTTTGGCAGCATATGTGCAGTTCAACCGCACACACTCACACTCTACAGTATGTAACATTTACTCATACGTATATATGTGTGTGTGTGTGTGTGTGTGTGGTGCAGAATGTAGAAGTTTTTGCTTCTAAAGCTTTGAGTGAGTGAGCCTCGCTCTTCTAACCAATCAAGGAAGGTCAAAGTCAGAGGTGGGACCTCATGGCTGTCAGTGTTTACATGACCATGATTCACATTTACTACTCTTCATGCATCCAATGCTTCAAGCTAGTATTAGCTTGGACAATGACCTGACTTACAGCCTAGCAGCTCCTGATTAGCTGAGACAGTGAAGGCAACGAGGATGTAAGTGAGGCACTGAGCGGAAACAGAGACAGGGCTTGTGGGAGGAGTGGACTAGTTTACTGTCCAGTCTCATGCTAGTGCTGGCTTAATTTTCAGAACTTGCATATTGTAGCTTTAAGGTTGTAAAGTAAATCAATCATGAGTACAAAAGAACATTGCTGATAGTGCACTAAAACTAAAATCTGTCAATTGTGATTTAGACTGCAACTGCGAAGTGCTCAGAATACACTCGAACTCTTGACTTTGCAGCTCTGATCTCTAATGTAGCATTATGTGCATTTCAAAACACCAAAATTAACCAAAAAAGGATGATATGAACATTTTTGAGGAGACAATAGCAGTATGAGTAGGATTTGTGTTATATTAAAGATTGAACTTTGGGATGAGAATTTAAGGTTAAAATCTTTTCTCCAGAACCAGCAGTTGCTCCCAATTCTTCACTATATTCAGTGATTGTTCAGTCTTTTATGAAAGTGAGCTTTGACATTTGGTAGGGTTATTGTCAATAATACATTGTGATGCAACATTACAGTCTGTCTTGGAAAAGCCTTGGAGTTATTCTCTTTCTTTCAGTTTCTTAATTATTTATTAGATGAACACTGTGTTGGCTCTAACTCTTCTTACTGGTTGTGGCAGTGTATTGCAGTAGTGATAGTTTCAGCAGTGGACTGCTGTATGACTGTGGTGTCTTTCAGCAGACTCACTCTGCTCAGGTAGTTTTTCCTTATTATTATATGTTGTCCCCAACTGGTGGACTAAAGGAAAGAAGGGGGAAGCACTTTGATTGTGACTGGCACAGAGTGCAGCTGGCTTTCGCATAGCACTTGACAAAACACCTTGTGCCAACACCCTCGCCCTGTCAGTATCTTGGCAGTGGAGAAACACTAAAGCAAGCAAGTGGAGGTGAGAGGAAAGAAAGGAGAAGTGACAGAAAACTTCATCACAGAAACTCTGTGAGGACAGTATAGAAAGGAGGACAACAAAGCAGTGCAGTAAATCCTGCACAGATGCACCCCGATTGCAAGATTATAGGTCTCTACACATAACTACAAGGCATCCCATACAATATAAGAGCCAGTCATTATTGCAGTACACTGTCTGCACCGAGAAACAAAAACAGTTCTTCCCATCTTACCTAATCTATCTGCATCAAATAATGCAAAGCATGTATGCAGCCCTGAATAGGTTGAATAGGCTGTGCACTGAGCCTTCACATCAGTACACATACACCACCCTTTGCCACCTTGAAAAACAGGCATGCCTGAGATAGGCTTGATGAAATATTAATCATCAACATTAAAGACAAATTCCCCAACTGTATATTTCTGGGACATGTAGAAAGATCTATGGGGTTTATCGCAAACGCTAAATATTTGCATAATGGCCTGCATTCTTAACAAAATGGCTTTTATGTTAACCCAATGCTAAGATATGTGATTTATGAATGGAGTGGGTAGAAGGGCTCTGTTTCATCATGGCTCCGAAACTTGCACTAAAGTTTACCATCAATAACCATGACAGTATTAACTTCTCTCTGTGGCGATGATGGAAATGCACTTAAATATGGTGGAATACAGTTAGAGAATATCAATCTACAATATTACTGGCCACTATCATCAATACGCTGCCATGAGTAGAGAATCTTAATGCAGGGGAGGATGTTGAGTCAGGAAAGGTCTCTGATTTACAACGGGGCATGTCTATGCTTTATCACCGCTGCTGTAGAAACTAGCTCCTGTGACTAAATACTCCTTCATTCTTTGTCCCCTCCCTATCATTCTCTCATCACTTTTTCTCCTCTCCATTTTTCATCTTAGAGCCTACATGGTGGTCCACTCATCAGCTCCTCTCTGCTCTTTGTTCTCGTTTTGCTCACAGTCTCCTTTGTGTGTATTTTTTTTCTTCCTACCCTCTCTTTGTACATTTCCTGCTGCGCGTGATGTAGCAGCTCTCTGATGAGCTCCACGGCTGACACATGCTTACTGCCAATGCTAACTCATCATCATAAGATTCTTAATAGCCCCCGGGGCAAATGCTAATGCCAACTCCTCTGCTACCACCTCAAAGAGTCGAGTCTGCTGCACTGCTAAGCACTTTATCTACCCAGCAGGCTCGTACTTTCATCAGAGCTGATAAGAAAGCACACATTCTGAACAATTCACCTGAAGCCATACAGACACCTAGAGAGTTTCTTGATATGAAAACTAGAATGCAGACAAACTGACTCCCTTTTGTCTATCTTTATTTCTCTAAACAAATATGTCTCTGCCACATGAAATAAAACTTCGACTTGAGTCCTGTATTTCTGCCACACAAACTATGAATCAGTTAACTAGAGTATTAAGAGAGTTCAACTAAGTGAGAGTGGACTAAAGGGAAGTGTACTTTGTAACAACACATACATTAAAATCCTGCTTCATTTGTCATGATGTTGCTGAATTTAATCACCGGTCATATAATACATTACAAACAGTTTTTAAATCTTACCTCACTCTTAATAATGACCTTCTGTAATGTAATCATCGTTCTTAATATCACAATCACAACAACAAGCATTAACAATTTGCTGGCTCTAGTTTTCTTGCTAATGAAAGTCAATGATATGGATTAGTTTTTCCGTGTGTGTGTGTGCGTGCACAAGGAAATGAATAAATACCCTTTGCACATCATAACCCTCCCTCACTGTCCTTGTATAAATCTTCCTGTGTAACAACATACCGCACTTTGTTGTAGCCATTTCTTTTCTCTTTACCTCATACCATTATGCCTTCTCTTTCATGTCTTTATCCTTCCCTCTATTCTTTAATATCTTTCTCTTTCTACCCTTTTTTTTTTTTTACTGTTTTTCTAACACACTCTTCATTTCCACCCTCTTGCCTGAACCCTAAACCCTCTCCTCCTTAAAACTGTTGCCCTTTCTTCAGTCCATTATTTGTTGCGACTCACAGTTCTGGAGGTCAGCATGGGAGGGTTGTCATTGATGTCCGTGACAGTGATGATGGCGGTGGCTGTGTTGGAAAGGCCGAAGTTCAGGTTACCCTCCATGTCCGTGGCCTGTACAATGATGGTATACTGAGACAGTTTCTGTAAAAAAAAAAAAAAAACAGAAACAGTCAAAGAAAAAAGAGTGCAGAGTTATTAATCTGTGAAAAGCTTTCTTTTCCCCAAGTGTACAGCAACAGCCACAGACAGTGGCTCCCAGAGGGGAGGGTGGAGTCTGTCATGTTCTATAGTCACTGTACATGGTCATATTTGCAACCCAGCATCGCAAGAATGAAGTCTTTGATTCGACTGAGTTGAAACCTCCTCAGCAGAACACACCCAGACTTCCGACCATCTGAAGGCTGCGCTGTGAAGCGTCCCCATGGGTATGTCATCAAAGAGCCACTGATGGACAGATGTGAAGACAATGATCCAGCTGACAGAGATTAACAGACTATCTATGGAGCAATAATATGAAAGAATGATAAATGCCATTTTGTCTTTTGAAATGTCATTTCACTGGAAGCTGAAACATAGTTCTGCTATTTATAATTTTGTATTTTGGTGTGCTTTGAGCCATGCAGCGCCCTTCCAATTCTCCTTTCTTCAGTCTCTTCTTCTCTATGCCAGCATCCCCTGTCTCTTCTTCTGTCCCACAGTGCAGTTAATGGGCTGCAGGAAGGATGGAACCCAGGAGCCGACTGTCTGAATAATGTGTCTCGTCACCGACATTCCCAATTACATTCCCAGTGTCTCTCTCACCTGCTAATTACCAAGTAAATATACCAATTAGGCCAGGACGCCACATCAGGAGGATTAGACAGCTCCTCTCATCCTGATGCTAGACGAGATGCTGAACTTCAGCCTTGTATATACACTCTCATTGACACCTATTCGTACACACAAGCCCCCACCAACACACAAACATTCACACACCATTTTTCCTCCACATCTTGTTTAGAAGCAGTGCTCACCTGACTGTCCCATCAACATGTGTACAGCATGTACACAACATTTTCACTAATTAGACAAGGGAGTAATTATGTGGCACTCCTCTGAATCTCTCAGCACTGCAGCAACACACACCGCAGTCCTCTGGAGGACTGAGGTCCGTTGCTGTCAACAAGCTCTTTAAAGTCCACTGCAGAGCGGTGGAACGCCTTAGAGAGAATCTGTGTGCATTTATAAAGGAAAGGAAGACATTTCAGAAGTAAAGAACAGACTTGATTTGAGGCTTTCATTTTAACCATGCAAATAATAAACCTTTTTTTTTTTTTCCAGTCTCCCAGTGAGAAATACTGCTGCCACCTCGGCTGTTACACCCGCACATCTAAACCTTTAGCGGCAATGAGAAAAATAAGTATTAAGAGAGTTCAACTAAGAGAGAGTGGACTAAAGGAATAAAGTTTTTAACAACAACAGAAACTCCTGCTTCACTAATTCATTTAGTGATGATATTGCTGAGTTTAACCACCAGTAATATGACACACTGCAAACAGTGCATTACTCTGGACTTTTAATTCTTACCTCACTCGTAATAATGACCTTCTGTAATGTAATCATCATTCTAAATATTGCAATCACAACAACAAGCATTAACAATTTGCTGGCTCTAGTTTTCTTGCTAATGAAAGTCAATGATATAGATTAGTTTCCCTCTCTCGCTCGCTGTTTGTGTGTGTGTGTGGGTGCGTATTCCCTACAAAGAAATGAGTAAGTACCCTTTGTACATCATAACCATCGTGCACTGTCCTTGTGTAAATCTTACCAGTGTAATGACATAACACGGAGCCATAGTCATTTCTTTTCTCCTTTCCTCATTCCATTGCTCCTTTCCTTTTATTCCCTCTTTCATTTCTTAATCAAGCTCTTAAAAGTCCAATAAGAGAGAGTAGTTTGCTGAGGCACAAGAGGAGAGAAGTGGCTGTGTAAATAGATTTTGTGGCACCTTACACCTCCAACACTGCTGCCCAAGGAGGCAACGAAGACACAGAAATTTTCAAAGAGCCAAAGTGCTGAGTAAAAGTAGACCAGGGACGGACTGCAGCATGCTGTGTAGCATCTTCTTGTGAAGTTTATGTACAATATAGAGGCTCAGAATTCTCCTGCAGGGTTTGAAGCTTCTTATCTAGACTCTACAAAAATGTTTACAGGATTACAGAAATATATATTTGTATGCTACGGAAACTGAGTATGTATATTCATAAACACATAACATAACAGTTGCTTCAGAAAGGATTCAGACCCCTTCACTTTTTGCACACATTATTGCCATTTTGCCCTTCGTACACATTCAGCCACCCACAATGACAAAGAGAAAATGTTTTTAGAAATTTCAAATTTAAGAAATGTTCAACTGTATTAAAATTCAAACACCAAAATCTCTTAATTTTATGGAAACATTCCGATCCTTTGCTGTGTCTCTGCAGACTGTGGCCAGATGAATTGTCTTTGCTTTAATTATTATTAAGATGAATCTACAACATGACTGGAGTGTACCTGTGGAAAACTGACCCTATTGAGCATCAAAAGGAATACACCTGTATACTATATATCATCCTACAGCCACAGCCAAGTCTGAATTCTGTGGATCTTCATGATAAATTGTTTGGTGAGGCATAGAGGGCAAGAACATAAAAGCACTTGTAAAGCTGGTGTGTGTTCCCAGTAGCACAGTAGCCTTAGTAATTGTGAAACAGATATTTGGAACCACCAGGGCTCTTCCTAGAGTCGGCTGTCCGGCCAAACTGAGTAACTGGGTGAGAAGGGCCTTGGTGAGGGACGTGACCAAGAACCCAACTGACCCAACAAAGCTTTCTCAGCATGGTGATGGCAGCATTATGCTATTGGGTGCCTCTTAGCAGCATGGACAGAAAGACTGGTCAGAATTGAGGCATGGATGAATGCAGCCAAATACAGAGAGATCTTTGAAGAAAACCTGCTCCAGAGTGCAGTGACCTCAAACTGGGGCAATGATGCATCTTTCAACAGGACAATAACCTGAAGCATACAGTACAGCCAAGACAACACTAGAGCAGCTTCAGGGTAAGTCTCTGACTATCCTTGAGAGGCCCAGCCAAAGGCCAAATTTAAACCCCACTGAAACATCTGTGCAGAGATCTGAAGATGGTGGTTCTCAGATGCTTTGCACCTGATCTGATGAAGCTTGACAGGGCACAGTAAAGTGTGCAAGAAGTGAAGAGCTTTCTGAAGTCGCTGTATATGTGTGAGTCAAGTACCTGTTTTCATGGCTGTGCACATTGTGTGTGCTCTTTTATGTCTGTTTTTGTGAGGACCAAGTTGAATTTAAGACCTAGAGAGTGAAGGCATTTTTATAGGGTGAGGACATTTTGGCTGGTCATCACCACCTCAGCTGGATCCTTGAGTGGTATTTGTTGATTTTATAAGGTCAAAGTTAGAAAAAGGTTTAGCATCCAGGTTTAGTTTAGGTATGTAGTTGTGATGGTTAAAGATCCGAAAGGTTAAATGAAGCACCCTTTCACTTTTCCTACACAGGATACGATCCCATTTACACCTGGCATTAAAATGCAACGTGGATATATGATCTAGATTATGACATCTCTTCATGGGTTTTTGCATTTACAGCTGTTATTAAAAAGCATTCTAGTTTATTCTGTCTTACCATGTTAGGTAGTTGGGGCTGAATTGTCAACAAACATGCTGCCGGTCAACTAAGGCGATATTGGGTAGTCTTTCTGCCAGGCTTGCCTGGTGTGACAGGAAGCGGCAGAGTGAGGTGAGTTTTCATCTAAAAACAAGGCTGGGCAAGTCTGGTCCTTGAGGGCCGCTGCCCTGCTTGTTTTCCAATCAACCCATTCCCTACCCACTGCTGATTACCTGGATCAGGTGTGTTCAGTCAATCAGAAGCTGGAAAATACCAATTCACTGTCTTTCCTCACTCCAGCTTCATCTAAATTGATTACCTACCCTTGCCCGAAACAGGAAAGCAGATAATCCTTATATTTGAGAAGCCTGAACCAGAAAATGTTTAGTGCGTCTGCCTGATTAATGGCCTAAACAATACATTTATGATCAAAGATGCATTTTTTGGATGCATCTTTGCATTGCTTCAGCATTTCAAAGAAATTTCTTGGTAGGCTAAATTTGCTACTCTATCAGTACCACCACTGTTGTAACCTAAGCACTGGATTTTCCCACTGGCGAACCTATGATGTGTGGTTGGAAGCTTCCAGACTGTGTGCTGTGTGACTGTAAACAGGTTGCTGAGGAAAGACATGACTTCTCTCAGTGGTATGATAAATACAGGAAATGAAAAAGAAAAGGTTAGGGGCTAAGGAATGAATTATATCAAGATGAGTCCCCTCAAGAATAGATGTACAAACAAGCTTGTGTGTGCATGCTCAAGGTTTGTCAGAGTTGAATCCTACATACAAATCCACTGTACAGATAAAACAGAGTAAAAATAAGCAGCAGAGGTTCAGTTGAAACATGCTCATCTCTACCTCTCCCTCTGGCACCCTCATATCTCATCCTGCTTCTCTATCGCCATCACTGTCAAATCCACACTAACTTCCTCTAGCCTAATTGTAATACCCCATCTGCACAGCTGAAGTTTTGTTCTATTGCTCCCTTCAGTTTCCATTTTTCCCCTCCATTGTCTGTGTTTCATCAAGTGTAGATGTGATTATATGGCCTTTTGTTTGTCTGACAGGTGTCAAGGGCATTCTATTTCAGATATTTCCACTCTATCTTTACCACACAACAAACACACACAACACAACATGAGCAGCCCACTGCAGCGTGATGTGTTGTTAATAGGTCTGTCACAGGTGACAGTTTGGGAGGATGATCTCTCTCTGAGATTTCTTGCAGAGTTGTCAGTGGCACATCCATGTCGTGAGAATAAACACATTTGGATCTTGTCACAAGTTTTATAGCTCCATAAACAAGGTGACCGCAGATGCAGGAAATGTTCTGTACAACAAAAAAGATCACTTAATGTGTGTGTGTGTGTGTTTGTGTCTGGTGGCAAATGACTGCAAAACATTTCAAAGTTGCATCTCAGAGTGTCATCAGAATAAACAATGCTGTGAGGAACTGTGCTCCATAAACAGTGATAACCTGATCACTCAAACGTTCAGTTTTCTATGGCTAAAATCATTATACAGTCTTTGTGCCGAATGTTTTATATGATTAAACATGAACATTAAAAGCCTTTTGGAAATGCTTTGGCACAGAGAAGACCAACCTCTCGATCCAGACCAGTGGCCACCGTCACAATATCTCCAGTCTCACTGTTGATGGTGAACATGTTGGGAATGGGGCTATGTGGCGTCTGAGACAGGATTCGATAGCGCACCATTCCATTGGCTGTAGTGTTGTCATCGGCATCAAACGCCGACAGGTGCATTACATACGTTCCTGAGGGGAAAAAAAGAATATTTCACAATGTGCAAAACCCAAGCAGGCTGTAGAAAACAAAAGGCAAGTCTAATTGTAGGTGTTTCTGTTTGCTGACTTCATGCTTCTTCTTTATTTGTGGTATTGTTACACTAACATACTGTAATGTGTCACAGATCAACATGTAACATACATTTCAGTGTACAAGAGCAAAGCTAGTATCTGACTCTCCTGGAAAATGTATTGTGTCAGTGCATGTATCAGTGTATTATCACATTGGTCATTGTTTAACACAAATTCCACAATTTACAACACACAATTTGCATATGTTAATTTTTGTTTCATTTTTTTCCTATTTAAATGCACTCTCCTTTTCTTGTTGTCTTATGAAAACACACTGAGAGCCAATTGTACCAGAGTCAAATTCCTTGTGTGTTCAACATACCTGGCCAATAAAGCTGAGTCTGAAAAACATACTGTATAACTGTTCACCAAAATAAATCATACAGTAACATTGTAACAGCAGTACTTTGTGCTATTGTGTCTTTTATTGGACAATTTAAAGCGACACATTACTTCTCTGCTTAATCAGCCATCCTACAAACAGATTATAATGACAGATTTTGCCAAGAGTCACACTGATATTGGTCAATATGTACATAAGTGTGGCTAATAAACCATAAAATGTCCCATAACAGTTTGATAATGCCAGAAGAGAAATGTTGGACACATGCTCCATAAATAATGAATTCAACTACTACGAATAAAAATAAGCACAGACGTACTGTCTATGCAGATATAACAGTGATAGTTTTATGGCTTCAATCGTGCCCCAACCCTAGTCACTTTCAAGTCTCAACTGACAGCTTTATCATTTCCTTGTGCTGTTTTACTGGTTTCATGTTGCACTTTCTGCACTGTAACTGCTGGATAATCGTGTTTCAGACGATATATGTTTGTTTTTCTTGTCATTTTATGTATCTTGTCTCATTTTAACAATGGTTGATCTTAATTTTGTATTAATTTAATAAAGCTACCTTGCCCTAAAATAGCTGGGAACCTGCCCTGTAAATAAAGCAGTTAGCAAAGACATAAAGTATATGCAGACACAGTTCTGTTGCAGAGAATAAGCCACTATCCTTCCATGAATGCACCACTTGTTTGCTTTCCTGCCTCCGCACACTCATATAACTCTGTAGGATCATTGCCTGTCACCCAGTCTCTCTATCTCCCTCTCCTTCTTGCTCTTCCTCCCCTCCCTGGTAGCTGATTCTAATTGCCACAGATAGTGATATCGTGACAGCCCCTGCCCGAGGATAATTGTAACCGCAGCTCCCATTTCAAACTTCATTACATTTCAAAGCAACATTTGTCAATGACTCGGCCAGAGGGAGCACTCTGAAGGCCTCTCAGTGAGACGAGAAAAAAAACTGTGAGGAACAGAGGGAGGGAGAAGAAAAGAGAGAAAGAGAGGACAGGCTCCATATTTGGTTGGATTCCAAGCAGGGTGACTCAGTCCCTCACCCGTCACTTTTTCTCGAGATAGAGGGATAGAGAGAAGGAGATGAAGAATCACAATGTATCACACATCGATGGGGTAATTTCATTAAGCTGCACTCTTAGGGGGTTTAATGTGGACCCTTTGTACAGGCGTCCTAAGCTGTGCCTGACAGGATTAGGTCCCCATAATGGCTCTTTAATTTGCAAACTAATTCAAGTCTGTAATTGCCCTTCCATTGAAACCACTGGAGCTCTAAATTCTAAAACTCTCCTTTTTTATGATTATTGTTCAGTTGAATGTCATGCACACCACAGAGACTTGACTGCTGTGTGGGATGGGGCAACAGCATACAGCATAGCTGACAGAAAGAAAGAAAGACAGAAGGGGAAATGTGCACCTGGACACCTCTTGAGATCACCTCTGATGCAATAAACTCTGGCTCCTCAGGATCACACACACACGCACGCACACAGAGAGTTCATCTCCGTGATTCTACGGCTCTGAGGTTAGACATAAAATGACCCAGTGGTGCTACTGTGTGGTACATTTAATCCTCAGTCTCCTTTCCAGCCTGAGACCCCTCTTTGGTTTATGGTCACTGCTGCAGCCAGCTAAATGAAAAGCTTCTGTAGGAGACAGATTTTCTATCTGTCTGCTACATCAGGGGGAATAGAAAATTCTCTGTTGCTTCAAAGATTCACTGGTGTAGCCAGACTTTTAACGGCACCATTCTCTCCTGATATACTGGCTGCCTGTCTTTGGTCCACTTGTATCCAACGCCATCACCTCTCCACACATTTCTTTAATCTTTTCTAATAAATGCATCTAACCTGTAAGTGCTCCTGCTTCACACATTACTTCTTGTTTTGTTTCTCCCTCTATCCATGTGTGTGTCAGTACCTGGTTTAGAGCCTTCATCTACAGAGCCATTGTAGACCTGGTTTTTGAACTCGGGTCTATTGTCATTCATGTCAATGACAAAGATGTAGAGATCGATGGGGTTCTCCACCTGGTTCCCATTCATGTCTACAGCATGGGCACGCAACTAGAAGACACAAACAACACAAAATAGGAGGTTGGATTATAGCCTGTAATTATTGTGGGAGCAATACAATGAACAAGATTCTATCTGTATTCTCTACAACATTAGTCAACATTTACATCTATCTAGTACATCAAGAGTGTGGTTTCCACTGGGGAAAGATGGCAAATGCACCCCTCCACACACACTTTTCTAAACCATATTATGTGAGCACTAAGCTTTTAGGCGCAGTGGCAAGTGCATAGTTTTATGCAGTGGGGTTTTCTGTTCAGGCAATGCAAGTGTCTGATTGTTGGACCCTGTAGGCACAGACTGACAGGAGGCTCTTAAGACACTAGTCAGGCCTGAAGAAATACTTCAGCCTCCTCAGCATATCTATGGGAGGGAAAAGTACATTTTCATGTACAGGTGAAAGGTCTGTAATTGTGTAACTGTATTATTCAAAGTAATCACACTACAGTTATGGCAAAGATGAGCTGAAAGTTAACACATTTACTGTAGTTTATTTCAGCTATGGTTGTTATATTCTGTATTCATTTTATTTGAAAGATAAATTTGTGGTTAGAGATGTAAATACTATTATCAGAGGTCTCTGTTGTTAGAGATCTAAAGGCACAAATGCCAGTTTAATTATAATGTGTTATTTACTAAATTTATATAAGTTCATGTAAAGAAATAGCATTCATTTGTCTGCATGGTTGAAGGACCCAGGATTATCATTGTTTCACCGCCAATTCTGAAACGAAACAAGCTTCCTTACTCTACCTTTTATCTAATATTTTTAGTTGAAATATGCTCCACAACATGTTTTAATGTAGAGAGATGCTGTCAAAGGCTCCTGTGACCCAGACTCATTGAACAGCCTGGCAGCAGTGCACAGATATTCACTCGAAGGCTTATGAAGGAGCCTCACCCTTCTAACCAATCACAGGCCAGCAAACCCCTTGGTTCCTGCATTAACTGAGACAGCAGACATGATGAGGGTGTACAGCGGAATGTCACGGAGCGGGGAGAGGTGGGAGGAGAGGAACGGGTTGCTTTAAAGTCCCATGCTAGCGCTGGCTTGATTTCCAGAACTTGTTGCTTACAGGTTCCTTCCTATATTTTTAAAATTGGGTGTTATTGCTTCCATTTTAACAGCAAATTTTCAAGTAGTTGTTGGTATATTTGAAAAATCACTTCTTTGTTTCTCTCTTGGGATAGAAGCCCTTTATCTTCTCAATTGATTGCCAACGGTCTCCACTCAGAGAAGTGGACAAAAGGGTGAGACAGCATAAATAAAACACCAAGAAACTGAAAGTGGGTGTTTTTATTCTGCAAGGTGAATAATTTCAAAGCTTCTCTAAGTTGAACAGAACTCTGCACTGTTTTCTGAATTTGGCATTTAGCCCTGCTGATGAACACACTGACTGATAATGTTTACATTACTGAATTATATGGTACAATAGTTTCAGAAGGCCTAAACCTGAATAACAATATTAAGTTGGATAGGAAGTAAAATTCAGGACATTTCTCTTGCTGAGAAATTGTCTCTGCAATCATGTACTTTCTCTTTCACACTTCACACTCCCTACAAGCTTTTATCTTAGCAAAAACCAAAACACGAAACATCTTAGCTTATTGGAAGTTGGATCTATTGTAAAGGCAGTGTTCCTGTTTCAGAATCGCTGTGCTGAATCCCAGGGCTGTCTGGTGTTTGAAAGAGAGTCCAGAAATCTCTTCACTTCCCTCTGACTCCACAAACAGTCAGAGAATCTCAAATTCAGCTGAGCTGTGCTCAGATCAATGGAATCACCAACTAGGATTTCTCACAAAGTTTAGACATGAAGTTATTACTGGAATCAATACATGATGTAGAATGTGTTGAGACTGCTTTCTTATGAAGCCTGGAGGAAAAGTAACAGTAAGAGAACACTACTCCATCACACCTGAATTATCAGGGAAATGTTGAGTTTAAATAAGGAGTGTTTCAATTCCTACTGGTCAAACTAACAGTGGCACTTCAAAATTAACTCCTTGGTTCCTGATAAATCTGTTTTTATTCCCTTCACCTTACCTGAGATGTTTATATCCCTGAACATGACTTATTCTGTGATAATCCTGTCAGCTGGAAGCACCAGAGATGTTTAGCTTATAGTGGGAAAAAAAACCCTAAAGAGAATCCAGATACTATAAACACATCCCGCTCCTAACAACATAGGCTAGTAAATATTTATTCTGTCAAAACCTCAGCAATCAATATCAGGCGAAGGACCCTCTGTTTTTTAATTTTATTTATCAGTTTTTTGACACTAGACATATCCATCTAGAGGAAGACCAAAGGGAGAGGAACAGTAGATTAACAACACTGGAAAGGACTGGAAGAAGAATGAAAATATGTTAGGAGCAGAAAGATGAGAAACTGAAGCATGAGAAGTTTGATTAAAAATAGGGAGGGAATGGTACGCTTTCCATATGGCCATGCCTGATGGGGAATGCGTTACCGGGCTGCAAAAGCACAAGAGCCACAGATGTGAAATAGCCTCTAGGCTCATCGTGGCAGCAAACGGAATAAGCAGCATTCTCTATCGGTCCGGTGAAGATCCTCTTCACGGTCGCCCATCCTCTCCTCTTCATCCTCTGCTTCCACTTTGCACCTCCACATAAATTGTCTTCAGGTCTCCCCGAGGTTAATTTGACTTTACTTTTTTCCACTTCATTGTCTGATCTGTCCTGTACCCAATATCTGTGCGCTGCCATCGCATATCGTATCTCGCTGTGCAGTAACAGGCTAGGAGCCAGGCCCCTTATCTCCACCCACCCTCATCCCTCCATCTCTCATGCACCAACACCCTAATTCAATAACAGCAGGAGTCAGAGATTACCGCCATGTTTAAAGAAGGCAAAATGTAATTCTGGGTCCACATTAAAGTTTATTATCTTGAAAGGCAGGGGGTAGAAAACAGATTGTACCAGGCAGTGCTCAGCATTTGGCAAAGAGGCAGCATCCTGATGGAGATAACAGCAGAGCCAGGAGCTCCAAGGTTTTCTTCCACATAAGAATGCATCTTGTTGCATGACTGGTTTTGAATTTTTTTTTTAAATAAAAAGAACTAGACCCTACCTGTAACTTTGTTCAATCCTTGCATGAAATATGAGGTAAACAATGGAAAGAGCACAAAGTTAAATTCTAATTTTTGTGTGTGTGTAGCAGCTTTCCTGCATAATGTCAGTACATAAAGTCTTCCCTGTCTTAAAGGTTCTTGGACTAAGGAAAGTCATGTTTTATACACAGCAGTTTAATTACTTTTCTTCTCCTCTAACAGCACCTTGTATGAGTGCTCTTTAATTATTAGACTGCAATACCTTTCTCTGTGTGTTTATACATGTCTTGTTTCATCTGGTTTGTCCTTACACTTTGCATTCCACACCAACACTTTTCCTCTGCAACAAACATGGAGTTTAGCTTAAGCAGCCTTTAGCAAACCTCTGCTGTTCTTAACAAATCATCTTATTGATTGGAGATTCATGTGGGGATAAATCTGCTCAGCTTTCACTAAAAGGTTGTGCTTGCCAGCTCACCAGCACTGTAACTCAGACAAGGTACCCATATAAATACAAGGATAGAGACAGGTACAGAGACAGAGAAAACCAGAAACAGAAACTTAAAGTGATAAACCAAGTATGGTTGCTCACTAAATCGAAGCCTTGGGGTTCTCTTTTCATGGCAGCAGAAAGACTAGAGGAACGAGCAAGCTTTTGTAGAAAGTTGACAAGTTTGTGCGCTTTGCCCGACTGTGATGATGTTTCCACGCATAGATCAGAAGCACAAAGATGAAGAGAGAGGCTCAATGAGGTGGAAGTTTCTTTCAAAAAACCTGATCTTATACCAGGGTAGCATGCATCTGTGTATGCTGCATTTGTGCAAGTCGGCTGTACCTGCATAAAGTTGAGCTCCCCCAACTCTGGGCTGTCGCCTTGCTGGGCTCCTTCTTGGTGTGTTCACAATATTGCGAAAAAACGGCTTTTGCACTTGTCTCACTATTGTTGTGTATGTGGTGTGCTGTGCAGGCTCTGCATGGACGTCCGCGGTGCACAGTGTGGAGTGGTGGGTGCGCTCAAAGAACAGATGTGAAACTAGCCTAGTTCTGTTTCAGAATTTCACAAACTGTACAATAACATATGATCCTCATATCAAAATCAGATAAAGACAGACTCACATGGTAAGAAGAGCGATGCTCTCGATCAAGAGGTTTGGTGACGAACATCTTCCCAAGCACAGGATCGATATTGAACACCTCATTGGGTGGTTGATCTGCTCCCACCCCAGTGATGCTATATCTGATTGAGATGTCCTGGTCTTGGTCTGAGCGAATCTGTATTGCAACAAACAAAAAGAGAGAGAATTCAGTCAGTCAAGTGATTATTAATGCCTCATACCGAGTTTCACCAGGCCACACACCTTTCTCTCTTATTGGTTTTGCACTATTCCTTATAACCTAGAAACTAAACTTAAACTCATAGTTGTCAAGACCATTCCACACCTAACGGCACAATACATACTGTGAGGTGTTTATTATTGAAGGACCAGTTTGTGATATAGAATGCTGGAGTTTAATAATTTCCCCTTACACAATTTCAGAAACCTGATATTGCCTACTATTCAGCGGAAACATGCACAGGCACACAAACGCATACAGCCAGGGCATGCACTCTCGCATACACACATATTCATCACAGTTTGGCATTTCTAGCTACCACATACTCAAGAATTCCATTAGTGCTCCCACAGGGAGCGCTATGCATTCTGTTTGGCAGAACTGAACTTCTTCAAAAGAGAAATTTACATTTAAACACTTCGGGGAGGGAGCAATGAAATCAACGTATATTTACTGTTACATTTGACAGTCAGGTAGTGATTTATAAAGACTTGCTGGAGCCATGCTGAGAGTACAGACAGGTTATGAACAAAAATGACAATTAGACAGGAGAGTGAAAACACAAGGTTGTACTGTAATTGCTGTGTAATTAGGGAAGCAACAACAGGCAACATAACAATAAACACATTCTGAGTAGGCAAAAATGGGCCAGAGAGAAAATAACAGTCTCAAACCCAGGGTGCACATGAGAAGAGAATTATTTAATAACTGTGGGAGATGGGAGGCAGAATGTTTTCTGAGAAACAGGATGGTATTTTGGTTCATCTTTCCTTGCCAGACAGACAGCTAATAGGTGCATTAAGTGCACTGCTAGGCCCACGATTTGGACTGAAGTGCTGTGTAATTGGGACTCATCTGGAGGAGGTTTTCAATTTAGTGCCCGAATAGAGTCCAAACTTCCAAGCATCCCATCTCTGTCCATTAACTACATGACAGCCTGTGAACAGCAGTCAGTGTATCAAAATGACTCAGTCACACACTTACTACAGTATGCAGGCATATAATGTACACACACACACATCTGTACTTCTGTCTTTGTGAGGGCAATCATTGACACAATGTATTTCCTAGTCCCTTAGCCCAACCCTAACTGTCACAACTAAATGTCCGACCCCTTATCCAGCCAGCCCTAAAACTAATTGCAATCTTAACCCTAAAACCAAGACTTAACTTTTACACACTTTTGCTCCAAATTGTCCTCACGCCCTTAGCTAAATCAAACGCATTCTCACAATGTGTAACCAGACTAGTATACACACACGCATGCACATGTGTTTCCATTCCTTGTGGGGACTTTACAATGACTTACATTCTTTTCATGGAGATTTACCCTACCCTTAACCATTACCACTACTTGACCAACCCTAACTGGACTCGAACCTTAAATCAAATTATCATTGTAGAATTTAATGATATTCATGGTGGGGACCAGCATGAGCTCCCACAGTGGGAGTGTGTAACAGGTTCCCACAATGTGAGTCCCACGCACACACACAGACACACACACACAGGAATTGTCATCCTTTCTCCTTCTAATCAATGACTATTTCAGTGGAGAGCTTGAGTGCACCTGAAGAATTAGACTGTCCAAAGTTCTCTCCATCTTTCACAACTCGAGGAACCAATTTAGCCACACTTTTGACACACCGCTGAGGAAATAGCTGGAGCAACTAACAAGGACAAGGAAAGGACACAGCATATTAGACAGGTGCCATCCTGACTCTTACTACTGGTGGAATAAAACCTGTCACCGCCGCCAACCCTGCTATTAGCACTATTTTCCTTCTCTTTCACTTCATCGGGATCAACATTGTCTTCAACTCTCATTTGGAAAGATCTGATCGAAGTGTGCCTTTCTAATCAAACACATGATAGGTTGCAGACATATTTGCTATAAGAATGCAAGAGGGAGCTGTCACAACATCCCCCTAATGCTATCTGTGTGTTTTCTTTGGGGAATGGGGGGAGATGAATGTCAAAATGCTCTGCATATCTTTCAGCGAATTACTGCTGACAGCTATGTTAATTAACAAACTGTAGGCATTGACTGCTATTACTTCAAAGAAACTCTTCCCCTTAAACACCAATAAACTAACAAATACCACGCTAACAGCTCAGTTGAACTCTCAGTGTACTGCCGTTACCCTCCTGTATGGGTAAAGCAAAAAGAGCCAAGCACGGTCTCCATCTACGTCACCTGTAGCATTATAAAATGCAAGCAGTTTTTACACATTCGCCTGCCAAACTGTCCCCCTTGATTCATCCCCCTTTTCTCCTCCCCTCTTCTTGTCTGATCATTTCCTCCACCCTCCCTTCTCCTTTTTCTCACTCATCACTACTCTTCCCCTTTCCTCTCCCCTGCTCTCTAATCTCTCTCTTTCTTTTTGCTTCAGGTCTCCGTAGGGACAGAATCCATGCATGAAAAATGAAATTACTTCAATCCGTTGGCCTTGGCAGTGGCATATAAATTCTCACTAGTTAGGAAGTGATAGCTCCCCATAATTCTATTTGGGGTTTCCCCGCCTCCCTGATTTCCCACCCGTTTCCAAGTCATCCTGTTTTTGGGGGTGGGATTCCACAATTATTCCAGCCAATTAGCTCTCCCTCCCACAATGTGTACCTAGACATGTTTAAAACTGTTGAGCAACAGCACCAGAATTGTTATCCTCATTCGTTTGTGTCACATATTTATGCATGGTTGCATGTGTACACATATGAGCATTCAAGTGGGCACAACTTTGCTTTCTCAGCCACTGGAAGATTATATTTACTGTATTCCAATTAATGATTACGCTTGAATATTGTTTCTTCTCCTATTCTCAAACTAGGCTTGTTTGGACAGTTCAGAGATGAGAACAAGGAAAGCGATGACAAACTACAGCTGCCATGATGCCTGGCTCATGATTAATAATGTATGTAATAAATCTGGGGCATAAATACATGGTTATGCATTAAGGAATGCAATAATAGATGTCAAGGAAATGAATCTAGCTGGCATTGCGCGTTATCAGTCTCCACTTTTTACCAGAGAACACTGAGACAGACTGAATGTCATTTCAGTAGTGAGCAGCTCTCACTGTCACTCTGTCATTTTAGCTTCAAAAATGAAAGGAGTGTGTTGGAAAAAGCTCAGCATGAGATGAACATGAAGAGCTTCTCATAACTGCATAAGGACTTTTTATTTTTTTAATGAAAAGAGGGAAACGCTCTCTTGCTATACCACTATCTCACACCTCACACGGGAGCACAGAATAGCACAGCATACACTTAAAATGTCTCAGTTCAGTAATAAATAACAAAGGAATTCATTTTCAAGAAGGCCAAAAATAATCAAAAACTGTTTTCAGCTTTTTCTGTCTTTTTCTTTTGTTCCCTCTGATTATTCTAGTTTTGTTTGTGTGGGTGTATGTGAGTCTA